GTCCCAGTATTATGAAATTTCTAAAAATTCTATCTCAGAATTCAACTTTAATGCAAAGATTAGTTGTCACACACTGAATAAAGTGGAATCCTAGAAAGAATTTGGAAAAAAGGCTCACCTAGTTAGACAGTAATATGAGTATATGTTTATTACTCAAAATCCAGGCTGGTATGTAATTAGATCCTTGCAAATTTATGTAGAAACTACTCAAACAATTGTAGAATGGTGATTAGGAGGATTAATGTGATAACAGATAATTGTCTTTTGAGTTAACCCAAATTTAAATATTGAAAAAGAGATGCCTCAAGGTGTGCTTAAAAATCCTCAGAGAATCTTTTAAATTTGAAGGTTAAAAAAAAAAAAAGAAAGAAAGAAAAGAAAGTGAAGAGAGTGCATGGATTGATTACTTAACCTATTTCTGTACCTTAGGCATCTTGGATTCATAAATATTTTTCGAGTTAAAAATACAGCCAAGTTGAAAAGTGGAACAAGCAGAGAAATCACCATTGTGATTTCTGAATTTATTGATTCTATGTTATGAAATTTGAAAGAGAAGAAAGAATACACAGTTCAATGATTTTGAAGATTTTGCCATATGACTAAAAAATACTTTTGCTGGGCCGGCCCATGGCTCACTTGGGAGAGTGGTGCTGATAACACCAAGGCCACGGGTTCAGAGTCCTATATGGGGATGGCCGGTTAGCTCACTTGGGAGAGCGTGGTGCTGACACCACCGAGCCAAGGGTTAAGATCCCCTTGCCGGTCATCTTTAGGAGAAAAAAAAAATACTTTTCCTGTAAGGTTGGTATTTACAGTTTAACTTATTATTAGTGTTTCTAAAGTAGAGATCATGTAGGTTAGGAAAAATCAACCACAGTCCCCATGCTGAACAGCAAATTCATTTTCTGAAGGATTTGGAGATCCTTACCTCTGGCCTTTTATAATTTGAGATTAACATTTTAAAATACACGAACCTTGAATTTTTATCCAGGCAAACATTTTAATGTTCACATTCAGATGCATCTTAATGCTGAAGGAAAAGTGTTTGACACTATATATGTTAAACATAGAAATGGGTGCCTTTAGTATGTTAGGAGATAGTTTCACTTTGGAAAATTAGGTGTGTTTTCCTTTAATAGTTTACTGCTCAATATGTAACTGTCACAGATGTAAAATATAGGCATGGAGTGTGGAATACATGAAAAGTGTGGAATTTAGCTTCAGAATTTATGGGAACTGACTGGGATACATTAAAAAGCTGCTATAATATAGTTCATGAAGGCCTGGAGGCACATCTGACACTCTGAGGAAAGTGCCACCAAGGCTACTAGGGATGGCCTTGGAAGAAGGGGACCCTACCTTCTATCAGGCAGAATATTGCACTATTATTGTAGGCATTGAATTAACAAGTATTACCGATAACTTCTAAAAGTAATACACCATATAATATTCATGGTGGTTATTTCAACCACAAACCTAATGCTTATTGATTAAAAGTAGGAATATTATTACTCTGCTGCATTGCCATCAAAATTCAAGAGACAGAACATGAAGTTAACTATTTTTGTTAAAAAGTTCATGTGTGCATGATGGAATACTTCTTCAAAGCAGATGGGAAAAAGTAGCAGTCTTTGGACCACAGAAGCAAACCTGATAAGTTTGGTTAGGCTCTCACAGTGCTGGTCCACTTGAGAAAACTGAATTGAGTTGCTAACATTTAATATAATTAGAATGTAAATTTTTAAGTTAAGTCATGATAGTCTCACCCATTTAGGATTACCTACTTGAGCTCCTGTAGTGTTTGAATTGGTGATCCCGGCTTTATGGAAAGAAAAGAAAAGAATAATCCCTTCCAGAAGAAAATGGTGGAATTTCAAAAGGTCTGTTTGCCTTGATATCCCTTAGAGTATGTTTTCATGATACCAGTATTCTTATCAGATATAGAAACCATTATTAATCAACTGTAAACTATGGAATTTAATTTCAGGAATAATAAAAAATATGCAGGCTCACTGGCTTAAATATATCAGGACAGGTGTGGTCATTAACTCTGAAGGTTTACAGAAGGTTTGGGGTCATAGATCAGACTAGAATGGGACAGACTGTTCCACATTGATGTCAAATGTTACATTTTTAAAATTTTTTTATTTATGGTCATTAACTCTGAAGGTTTACAGAAGGTTTGGGGTCATAGATCAGACTAGAATGGGACAAACTGTTCCACATTGATGTCAAATGTTACATTTTTAAAATTTATTTATTTTTTTATTTTTTTAATAAAAGATGACCGGTAAGAGGATCTTAACCCTTGGCTTGGTGTTGTCAGCACCATGCTCAGCCAGTGAGCGAACTAGCCATCCCTATATAGGATCCGAACACATGGCCTTGGTGTTATCAGCACCACACTCTCCTGAGTGAGCCACGGGCCAGCCCTCAAATGTTACATTTCAAAAGCAAAATTTGGCACCATTTCAAAAAGTTGAGTTTTGGGCTGAGCCCGTGGCGCACTCGGGAGAGTGCGGCGCTGGGAGCACAGCAGCGCTCCCGCCGCGAGTTCAGATCCTATATAGGGATGACCGGTGCGCTCACAGCGCTCACTGGCTGAGCGCGGTGCGGCCGGTCTCAAAAAGGACAAAAAAAAAAAGTTGAGTTTTGAAAGCATTAGGTTGTGTTGAGATTCAGCAGAGAGTTGAACTCACATTAGAAGAGATTAAAAGGAACCCATTTTGATTATTGACAAGATTATCTTACACAGATCAGTTAGTAAAATACTTACAAATCATAAAGGCCGAACTGTTCTACAAGACTTAATACACATGCCTCCTCTCTTCCAAATAGGTAGCAAGGAGCAAGGAGGAATTGAAAGATCTGGTCATTCTAACCTGCAAGAAAGATTATTCATGGATGCGTTTGTAGTGTATGATCCTTGAGAGCCATCACTTGTCCAGAAATATCTGTGTGACATATAACTACTAAAATTATGAATTCTCCTGCCAGACAGACCTCTTTTCAGCTAGATTTGCTTTTCCTGCTCTCTTAAACAGGTGTATAGGTGGGATGCCACATATACAGAATTTGTCAGTGATATGACATCTGCCAAACTTGTACAAAAAGGGGGAAGAAAAATAAAACTCAGGCTGATGTCACTGCTTGGGGCCTAGACAACCAAGACACACAGACCAGGCCAAGCAGAAGCATTACCAGCAATGGAGGCTCCCCCTCTTTGCAGCTGCCCAAACACTGACGAGATGTGCTGGACTCCATGCAGCAGGAGTGCCCCAGCATTGTAGACTTAGTTCCTGAACAAGACTCCAAGTTGCACCATGTTCTTCTGAGCTCTGGGGTCTTTGCACATGCTATTGCCTCTGCCTGAGACACTTGCTCCCCCTCTCTTCCTTTTTCTATCTGACTACTTTCCATTCATCCTTGAAATCTTGGCTTAAATATTACTACTTCTGGGAGCCCACCTTGACCTCCCAGACTAGGTAAGATGCCCCTTGTTCGTGTCCCCACACCCCCCCACACACACTGTACTTCCTCTTGAAAAGCAGTGATCGCACTGAATTGTGACCCTTCTTTTCTGGTCCATATTCCCTCATGGCCTCTGAGCTCCATGAGGCCAGGTGCCAGGTCTGCCTTGCTCACATCTGTATTCATATTGTGGATTTAGTTACTCAGAAGATGTTGGTTGGATAGTTAAATAAACTACAGCCCAGCCTGTCAGCTTCTCAGCTCACTCATGTAATCTTAGTTGACCTCTCAGCTATGGGACTATATTGTGTTTGTGGGCAGGGCTTAAAAAGTGGCCAGCAATGGCGTTGCTGCCTAACAGAATTTCCCAAGAAGCAGAAATTCTTGTGACACATGAACCAGAGCTTTTGTATGCAGCCTGGAAGCCTCAACAACGTGATTGGAAAGAATGAAATGGAAAAAGAGGGAGCACGTGTGGAAAAGGGGAAGAAACGTGGAAATATCTCTCCAAGACAAAGTGGGGGTGATAACATCTTGACCTTAGATCACAGGTCAGAAAATCTAAAAGGATGAAGGTAGTATTTCTTGGAGGCACAAACTTCACAATGGAAACATGAAGCCAACAGAACCCCCTGTGGATGTGGACATTGAGCATGAATTCTAAGTATGCAGAATTAGTAGGAGTCAACAAAGGTTTCTATCAATTGGGTTCCATCCTCTCTGATCTTGGGCAGCTTCTTTCACCTAACAAAGCCTTGGCTGATCTTGAGTAAGACAGGGTAAGAGTCTTATCCAAAGGAGAGAGTCAGTGGACATCCAGGGAGGGCTATAGGCAGATACCCTGGAATTATACAAGACCCAAGGACAAGAAAGACAAGAAGAACTGATACCAGAAATCAGCATTTGCCTTTCAGCATGGAGGCTGGCCAGAACCCAGCTGGTTGTCAGAAAGTACAGGCTCTCTGCCCCTCCTGTTCTTAAGGAGCTTTGATTTTTCTCTACCAGGAAACAGTGCAGCTAAAAAACTTTCAAAGACTTTCCATGGTCCTCAGCATAGAGTCAAACTCCTCACTATGGCTTACAATGTCTCTTTTACCATGAGTAACCAGGCAATTACAAGGAAGGAATAAGTGGCCTCAACTCAGAATGGACCGGGTTCTCTAGAATCAGAAGAATCTGGAAAAGGAGAATAATCCAGCCTGATTCTTCAAACAAACCTGGAAGTTCCACCTGGCCAAACAGGAATGACTTCTTTCCAGGGCTGAGGTGGCAAGAGCTCCCTTCCTCTATGCCCAGCATTTGCTTTGGCCCTTCCTGCCTCTTCTGAGCCTGGGCTCTCCAGACCCCCATTCTTCTGCAGTCTGAGCTGGGATGGCTTAGCTGTTTCTGAGCCCGAGCAACCCTGAATCCCTTGTCCCCTTGACCCAGGGAGGCTCTAGTAATAAGCTTTGGGTAGGACTGACTCCAGGAGTGGGCCCACCATCCCCTGCATGAGTGATACCCTGAGGCTTGTCAGACAGGGAAGTTACCTCCTCGGCCCTCACTGGCAGCTGGCTTCACTTGGATCGGACGATTCATCTGAAAGACATTGGACCAAAACACTCATTCAGCATGACTGCCTGGTCCTGGGGCCCCGGCTTCTCCACCCCTGGACTCCTCAGGATCTGGGCTTTAGCCCCTTTGAACTCTGCACTCCACCACTCCCACACTGGGGTTATAGATTTTCTCCAAGATTCCTTCCTTAGACCCGGGGATTTAGAAGGTGTTGAAACCTGAAGGGATGGGTGACAGGAACCTCAGTGGCAGGCACAGGGTGGAATGTGGCACCTAAAGAGATTCTTCTGCCTTGGGCTCTGGGCAGGGACCAGGCGAGGCTTGTCTCTCTGGCTCCTAGACTTACTTAAAAGCGTTGAGTGAGAGAAATTGGGTGGGAGGGGCAGAATTAGTATAGCATATTTGTGTTCTATGTCTAAAACTGAAAATATAATCATTTCGATTAAACAATCTGGGAACCAGAGAACCAGACTTAGTGCTATCTACCCCCAACTCTGCCATTTAATGGGTGTATGACTTTAACTAAGCCACTTCCTCTCAGATTCAATTTGTCAAATGGGGAAAACATTCCCCAAGCTTCTGTGTCACCACAGTCTCCACTCTCCCAACCTCTGCCCCCTCTCTGGGTTCCCTTCCCTTTCCCCTGAGGATGCTGGCGTTCTCCAGGGCCCCATCCGCAGCCCTTGTTCATCTGGCACTTCCTGTTTTCCCTGGACAGTCTCATCCACACCCACAGCCTCAGCTTCTATCCACACAAGGATGACACAGAGTTCCGTGCCTCCAGGCCACATTCTCTCCTGAGCTGCAGAACCATGTTGCCAGCTGCTTGCTGGACATCCTGACTAGAAAGTCCCACTGGTACCTTCACTCAACACACCCAAACTACAGATTATCTTTTTGCCCAAACCTGATGTTTCCCATCATCCAAGCTATAAACCTGGAAAGCAGCTTTACTTCTCCCTCCATCCCTTCCCCCCTCCGGCCAATTTCACCTTTTAATTCATGGGTTCCCTGCTCAGGGGTAAATAAGAATCACCTGGGAACCATATTAGGCTCTTAAGTTGGGGGACTGTATAATTTGAAAAAGCTCCTAGGTGATTTCAATATATCCCCCACATTCCCCATCCCCCAACCACCCTGAGTGAATTCATGATCGAATCCCCATCTCACCTTCCTCTCATGGGTGTAGTGGGGATCACATGAGGTAATGGGGATGCAAAAGGTCTTTGTAAACTGCCAAGAGCTGGGTGCGTGGGATGTGAGGAATTATTGTTGGGGGGCAGACAGCTGAGTGCCGGGAGAAAAGAACAGCGGCCTTCCTGTTCGTGGAGGAAGGGGCGCTGATGCCCATCTGGCCTGAGAAGGTGATGATCTGACGCCCTCCCTTCAGGAAATGCTCTGCTTCTGCACCAATCAGGGGCCACTCCATCCTCTACCAATATGTTCGTTGCCCAGACAACAGGCAGCTTCCTGTTACCATAGCCACAAGTGCTACTCGGTAACCATGGTAACACCCTGGCAGTCACAGTTGAGCAATTTCCTTTGGATCAAATTTGGGGGTGGGTGGGGTGGGAGGTCTTTAAAAAAAAAATAAAAAAGGAAAGTAAAACAGGCCAAGCCTGAACCAGCGCAATCCCCCTCCCACCCAGGGCTCTGACAGACCCACCCGCTGGTGGTTGAGCACCCGCAGTGTACCAGGCTGTGGGTGGGGGCTGAGACACCGGCAGGACTCAGGTTGCAGTCTAGAGGGGATGACAGATCAATCCAAGCAGATCAGGGCGAGCTGGACAGGTCTGGACTGGCCTGGACCAGGGACCAGGAGGACAGGACCCGTCCCTGGGCATGGCCACCTGTGATTGTGGAGGAGAGACCAAGAGACAGAGCCATGGAAAGCAGAGACACAAGGAAAGATGAAGAAACACAGGAAGACAGAAATGATGCAAGAGAAAGAGACAGACCTAGAGAGGGGCAAGGAAAGAGAAATACTGGTGGACATGGAAAGGAAGGGAGGGGATAAGGGGTCAGGAAGCAGGAGCAGGAGAGACTGGGAGGAGCCCGGTAGGAAAGAAGGAGAGAGGGGTAGAAGCCTGGGGTGGGGGGCAGTGAGGGTGAGCAAGACCATCATTATTTTATTAGTTCTTAAATAGATCCTGAGAAATTCTCTCTGGAGCCTAGAGTGACGAGCACATGTGACAATAGTGGTTTCCACGGCAGCTGCCTCCCCGACTGGCTTTCCTGGAGATAGTGCTCTTGGGTGCTATGGGGGACCCCCTCTACCTCCCCCTGCCCACTTCACCACCCTTTGATGGAGCGCAGGTGGGTGGTATGTACACGTCCCCAATGGACCTGCAGGGTCCAGGCCTCAGTGGCTGTAGGCCTAGGCCTTCCACTGCTCAGGCGTGCTGCAGGCATCTCCTGAGATCTGTGACAAGCCCCAGGCTGAGCTCTTCAAGGGGGACAGAGATGACCTAGATGGGGACCCTCTCCTCATAGGCTCACAGAGAAGAAAATAATGCCACCATTTCCTGAGAGCCCACTATGTGCCAGGTCCTTCCTGGGGCACTTTACACTTATCGTCTCTAAGCCCTTTCAACCACTCTGCACGGTGATACCATTGTCCCCATATTACAGATGAGGAAGCTGAGTCTGAGGGAGGTTATATCACTTGTCTAAAATCATATGGTGGGTAAGTGGCTGAGCTGGGATTTGCCCCAGGTCTGTCTGATGCTGAAGTCCATGATTTTTACCTTGTGCTGCTCGACTCCGCTTTTAAGACATAAACACAAACAATGAGGCACAGAGGGACGAGGGCCTTGGGCAGGAGCAACGTAAAGTGCCATGGGAGAGACTGACTGCAGCTAGAGAGGCTGACTGAGGGAAACTTCACAGAGGAGGGAGTGTTTGACCTGGGCCTTACAGGACCTGAGTCATCGGCCACATGGAGATAATGGGAAAGGTAGGGCTGGCAGCTGAGCACTCCGGATGGCTGGGGGATGAACAGGGAGTTGCAAACCTAAAGGAGTAAGGGCTCTGGTGAGCACCTGGCATAAAGGTAGCTAGAAGGAAGCAAATGGCTTCTGAGTCAGATTGATATGGATTTAAATCCTGTCTGTATCACTGGAAACTTCCATAAGGTCTCCGAGCCTCAGTTTCCACACTGGTAAAAGGGGCAATCATGATCCTATCATTCGTGGTGTGGTGAAAATGACAATAGCTAGATCTTACTAGGTGCACCAGACATAAAAAGTTGGTTTAGTTTTGGGGTTTTTAAAAATTTTTTTTGCTTGTTGTTGAAGGCTGGCTGGTACAGGGATCGAACTCTGGCCGTTGGTGTGATCAGCACCATGCTCTAACAAACTGACCTAACAGGCCAATTCTGGTTTGGTTTTTTGTTTTGTTTTAAGATATAATAAGTTGTGTTTGTTTGTTTATTTTTGAATGGAAGGACATGAAACTGAAAGTTAGGCAAGGGCCAGATCAGGGCAGATTGTGAAAACCAAAGCAAGAAATTTTGACTTTGTTGTATTTCAAAGGCAGTGATGACCCAGAGATGCATTTTAAGTAGGGAAATGGTCTAGTCAGTTTTGTCTTATGAAGGATCCCGTAAGCAGTCACTATACAGAGAAAAGTTTGGAGAGGGAAAAATTAGAGGCAGGAAGATCCATGATACAGGTAAGAGGTGAAGGTGATCTGGACCAGGGTAAAAAGAAATGGACAGATTCAAGAGATGTTTAGGAAGAATTAACTGGACTATAGTTCTACAGGATGTGGGGGCCATGGGAGAGAAGGAAATGTTGGCTGTCTCTTAGGTTTATGGCTTGCGAGTTAGGGAAGTTGGCAGTTTGGGACTTTAGAGGTGTGGGGAAGTCCCCAGGGGAGAAGCCCAAAAGGGCAGGGGTTATGGAGGACACCCGGGGTTTAGGAACGCTATGTGTGGCTGAAGGAGAGAGAGAGCTGCCCACATGAGCTACCTGGGCAACCCTACCCTGCTTTGTTCCTGCCACAGCCAGGGGAGGGACACAGGAGTAGGGTGAGGCAATTGGGATTCCCCTTTGAGAAAGAGAGGGCATTGCCTTCTTGGCCAAGAACTTATTGTTGTGGGACTTCAGGTGAGCTCTTGCCCTGGCTGAGCACATGTTCCCTTGAGAGTTTCCCAGGTGGAGTCCAGGCCTTTGTCTGCTTCAGGGCCCAGCCCTGAAGGGGAAATCAAGGGAGAGAATGTCAGAGAGAAGAGAGAACAACCTATTCCAGCAATGGAGTGGGGAAGGTCACAGGTGGCACAGACACACGCAAGGTCCTTCTGACCCAGTGAGCAGAAGGGAAAGCAAGACCCTACCCCAACTCCCTGATGGACTTGTCTAAAATTCCTGCCTTTGGGCTCAGCACTTCCCTCTCCAGACTCTTCTATCCTATGCCAGCTATTTCTTCCAGTCAGCAATCACGCCCTCGGCTATCCTCCCCCTCGTGGGAGGAGACTTTATCAGAACCTTCCCCCTTCCCTCTCCAGACTCTTCTATCCTATGCCAGCTATTTCTTCCAGTCAGCAATCACGCCCTCAGCTATCCTCCCCCTCGTGGGAGGAGACTTTATCAGAACCTTCCCCAAAAAGGGAGCACTGGTGGGTCTGGGAATGGTGTCATAAGGTACAGGGAAGAGTGGGGCGGGAAAAAAGCAAACTTCATGATATTCAACACTTTGTTCTACCTCACCCCCCTCTTCTAATTCAATCCACTATCAGGTCCCGTTGGTTCTAGAATCTATATGGATATCCTAAATAGCTCTCAAGTCCATCTTCTCACCCCCATTCCTGCCCTATCCTCAGCTCCAGGACAGCAGCATCATTCATGTGCATTCAAGCAGCAGTGTCCTAAAGAATCTTCCTGCCTCCAGTGTTGCTTCCTCCCCAACGAAGACTTCACACTGTAGCCAGAGTAATCTTTTAAAACCAGCCCCTCATTCTATCCTGTTTAGAATCCACCCAAGGTCTCCCATCACAAGCCTACTGATGAAGCCCAAGATCCTGAGACTGGCAGTCAAAACTTGTGGGTCTTGCCTCCTCTGCTGCGCAACATGCACCATACTCTCCACTTCTGTGAAGCCTCAGCCACCTTTGGTGGACATCTTCCCTGCCAGTTCTCACACTATCCCCAGAATTTCAGAAGTAGCCTTTGTCTTTTAGGTGTCCAGACCCTCAAATATGATGAAATATGATCATGATTTAACTCAGGTAGCATCTCCTCCTGCCCTACTTCTGATGCCTCTTTTACATGCCCAGATGAGATGCAGTGAGTTATTTCTGGGCTGGAAGCTCCTTGAGGGCAAAGGCTCCAACCTATTTACTGAGCAGTTACTAGCACATACAGTGCCTTTGTAGAATTACAAAAAGGAACTCCCCCAGCCCTGGGAATGAATTAGAAAAAATGTGCCCCTTTCTCCGGGCTGACACAGCCCTGCAATGATGCACATGGCTTGGTCAATAGGGCATGGTTGGATTTTAGCCCCCATTTGCTCCTCCACCCAGGCTGTTTTGTGCAGGGCACAACCTGCAGAAACAAATGCACTCCCCTACTCAGTTATGTCTGCCTCCTTTACAGTGTTTGAAGGGATGGATCCCCAAAGGAAGGGAGGTAATGAGCAGAGAGACAGACAANGACACAGCCCTGCAATGATGCACATGGCTTGGTCAATAGGGCATGGTTGGATTTTAGCCCCCATTTGCTCCTCCACCCAGGCTGTTTTGTGCAGGGCACAACCTGCAGAAACAAATGCACTCCCCTACTCAGTTATGTCTGCCTCCTTTACAGTGTTTGAAGGGATGGATCCCCAAAGGAAGGGAGGTAATGAGCAGAGAGACAGACAAATAAGGGGGCACCCTCTGAATCCGAGAAAGTGGGCTGAAGTTGGGCTCCACTCTTTTTGGGTAGATTCTGCAACCTAAATTGAGGCTCAGAGAAGTAGTTCCAGCTTCATAGGGAAGAAGCTGAAGGAGATGGGGGCCTGGAGGGGTAGATTGCTGAGGTTTGAAGGAAGTCCTGAGTAGGGAACAAGCTTTAATAGGTGACAGAAATTGGCAGGGTGCAAGAGGAGGGGAGCTAAGAGAAGGTCTCAGTCCATCGGATCCCATGAAATTTCCCCTGGGGGTCCAGGCTTTCTCTTTGGGTGTTGACCCATCCTTTCCTGGTCCCACAGTGACCATTCTACCTAACTCTAGCAGGAGTCCAGATTGAAGTCTTGTCCCTGCTTCTCCAGCAGGTGGCAGCTATGCCCAAGACCCAGTGCCTGCAGAGAGCTGGGCACCCTCCTCCCTCCATGCTGGTGGGCCTGAGGCCAGGTGACTAAAGTCGCTACTGCCCCTGGCAGGCCCAGAGAAAAGATTGATGGCATGGACATTGCTGGGGCTGGCCAACACAGCCATCGATTTTCATTTAGGAGAATAATTAAATATTAATTTTCACTTTGTTAAGCTGGGGAGGGTGAATAAAGCCAGCCCTGGCAGTACCAGAGGAAGCCAGGCCATGCTGGAGGCCTGCAGATGCAAAGGTGAGAGGGGGAAGCTGTCCCCAGCCACCACTCTCTTCAGAACCTAAGATCTCTGTCTGCCACCAGGTTGGCTCAGGTAACAGTGCAGTGGTTAAGTGAGTAAGTTTTGGAGCCAGATTAACTGGGCTTGAAGTCCAGATCTTCCCATTAGTAACTACATAAGCTTGGGCGAGGCACTTAATTTTTGTGGCTCAGTTTCCTC